GCCTGAATCCCTCCAAGCAGTGGCAGTAGCCGAGGCGTGTATGCCTAAGGCACTGCCCCCGCTGCTCCATAAGGGGAGTTCCTGTCCTTGCCAACTCCTTGGTTCTGCAGAGGTTCCCTTACAGCGGTAAGCAGATGACTGAGTGGCTAAAGGGGAGGTAGGACAGAAGGGTATGAAGAGACAGAACTCGACAGGAAAAGCATGGATTCTAGAGTCAAACAAATTGGGAGTCCTAGCTGCACAACCTACTAGCTTTGTAGCATGGTGACCTTGAGCAAGTCACACAATTTACAGAACCTCAGTTTCCTCACTGTAAAACAGGGATAACAATACTCAACCTCACAGGGTTGGTTACTTCAAGGATTAAAGGCAATTCATGTCAATTAATTAATTCAAGGCAATTAATGCCAGAATTGCTTTAAAACTACAGAATTCTTTCTTTCTCACCCATACAAAGGAGGAGCTAGTGCACGGGTGAGAATGAGGATTTACTGAAGCAAAAGAAAAAGATGGTGCCTTCAGGAGAGAACAGACAGGGCCATAGGAAGCAAGACTGGTGAACACGCCAGCATTACCCATCATTCGCAGAGAAGGCTCCAGCTGCTCCCAGTAATGATCCTCCTGGACTTCCTGGAGACACAGGATCTGGAAAAGTGACAAGGAAACCAATCACTCCAGAGTACCAAGAGTGCTGGAGAGTGACTCCCACCACAGGAGCAGGGACTGAGGGCAGGTGGAAAGCTGCCGTTGGTCTCAGGCAGGGTCACACTGAAGCTTCCCGCAGGGCCAACTCTTCCCATACAGCCACCCCCAGCAAGGAAAAGCCTAGACTTAAGCTGAGTAGACCCGAAGCATGTGCTGGGTTTTCCTGTTCCTTGAATCCCTCAAGTCTCCCTCCCTGCATAAAGGTGTTGGAAAGTGTGTACCCACGGAGTCTTCTGAACACCTGCCAAAAACTCATTAATTCCAGGCAAGAAGGCTCCAGCCCTAGGCAGAACTCTGACCCTATAAACTGTAAACTCATTTTTTAAGAGCATTTGGGAAATAGCCCCAGGTCCAGAGCAAATACAAGATGGCACCTTCCCCCCTTCATCACTCACATCAGGGTCCCAGTGCTGGAATTCCTGCATGAGATTCACAAAGCGATAGTTCCAATTGAGGATGTCTGGGTGGCAATGCAGGTAGAGCTCTGAGCTCTGCTGCATCAGGTCCTGGGCCAGGATGTTATAGGACATTAGAGTGAACTGGAACTGAGGGCCATCCCCCGCCTCCAGGCCCTGAGCATCTGGCTGAGTAGAGAAATCTTCCCATTCTCGCCACAAGATTTCTGCAAAGGGGTTGGGGAGAAGAAGTCCACAAGAAGTACATGTTATCCACAGGCCCCACCATCTCCACTCCTGACTCAGAGATACTGTGTCTGAAGTTCCTTTTTGTCATCTTTCCTGTCACCCATCCCTCTCTCTGGCTATTTGAGCAGTACTCTATGGACATTTCCAGACTAGACAGCAAGCTCCATAAAGCCAGAGACAATCTTGGCCTGTTCAGCGTGGATCCCCAGTACCTAGCATAGTACCTGGCACCTAGTACATGTTCAATAAATGAAGGCTGACAATTTCTCACTTCTGATAAATCCATGGGTCTCTGTGGAGGATCCCTCGGATCAATGTGTTTAATAGTTACCTGAGGTTAAAGACATTTCGAGAGTAATCTTAGCCTTGGGTGTTTTCTAACCTTTATACTTGAAAAAGCCTGTGGAGCTGTAAACCACATGTTCCCCATCTCCCCTAGAGCATGGAGATGCAAGTGGGCTCAACCCACTTGAGCCACAGAACTCATTCTTCAAATTTTAATGGAAGCCAAATATGTAGGTAAAACTAGAAGATAAAATTCTGGTTGAGGCAGAGTACAGGCCCTGAGATCTCTCCACCACTACTCCTAGAAACAGCGTCATGGAGAATCAGAATCAGATGCAGTGCTTTTGCTTCTGCATCTAGCCATGTGACTTCAGGCATGTCCTGCTACCTCTCTGCATCATGGTTATTTCATCTGAAAGACCATGGGGCTGAATGAGACGATCTCTAAGGCCCCTCTAGATTTGACACTGTAAGATCAGAATGCAGAGACAGAGCTCCCCACCAGAGAGTCTTTTCTTTAGCAATGGCTCTGCCCAGAGTGGAGACAAGCTGCTACACTGGCTCACTCAGCCAGTTGTCAGACTCACCATGATATGGGATTTCCATCGGGGGAGGCTGCAACTGCCCCAGGCCCTCAAAAGGCCAGATGAGAGCCTCTTCCTGGGGCATAGGCTCAGGTGCTATGCTCCAGGCCACCACTGCAGGGTCCTCTTCCCACTGCTCTGCAGCCAGGGCACCCATTGGGAGGGCAGCACAGTCTGCATACTGGGGGCCGGTCTGCATGGGGACAGCCGTCCACACTGGGCCCTCGACCTCTGGCAGTGGCTCCTCTCCTAGCACCTCAGGGAAAGGCTCCTCCAGGTTCTCTGCTGCCCGTAGATCACTCAGCTGCCTGCTGGACCACTTGTCCTCTGACACAGCATCCTGTTCTCCAGGATTATCCATCAGAAGCGCCAGGCTGCTCTGGGCTAGTCCCTTATCTACAAGGGGACCCTCACTCAAAGTTGAGAGCACCTGGCTCGACCCTTCTTCTCGCCACTGCTGTAGCAGGCCCTCACACTCCTCCTGGTCGGGCCCCCGAGGGGCCATGGCAAAGCTGCCCTCTACCTGGGTGGACGAGCTCTTCGCCAGGAGGGCATTTTTCCGACATGTGAAGAAAGCATCTAAGAAGCAAGGCAAAATACCATGTTATAAGATGACAACATCACCCAACCCATACTCTTCTCCCAACTAGAATGTAAGTCCCATACAAGCAAGAATCATATCCACCTTGCTCATAGTTGTACCATCACTGAGCCTGCCCATTTTAATACCTGGAACACCTCATCATTAGCATGAAGTGCTTACTACATGCTGGATGCTATTCTAAGTGCTTCATACATATTAACTAATGTATATGGTAGGGATCTAAAAGTATTCACTGTATGAATGAAAGAACAGCTATCCCACATAATCTAGGACAAAGATGGTCACATGGAACCACATCCCTTTTATCTGGAGGTTAAGACTCCTATTAAACATCAGAACCAGCACTCTCTGGTTCTAAGGGCCATATTACATTGGAACCAGCACTTGACCCTGAATCAGAACTGTGGGTTACGATCTAGCAATGAAATTAACAAACCATGTGACCTTGGACAATGCCTCTGGTGAGATGAACTCATTCTTGCCTATAAAGTGGAGACAGGGGAAGTTTGAACTAGATAATCTCCAAGAGCCTTTCCAGTTTTACAAATCCTCTAACATACAAATACATTCCAAAAGAAAAAGTCCTAAAGTAGACAAAAAGAGTGTCTCAAAATCTACACAATTTACTTCTTAGTAAAGGCCCTTGCTCTTTGTCTCAAAGCTATGTATTCTATTCATCAATCTTCACAAACTTCATTATCAGCTTTCCCATTCCATAACACACCAGAGGCTGTAAATCAGAAGACGCCAACAACCGACAGCAAGAGACAGCTGTCATCTCTCTGCTACGGCAGCCACAAATGACAGCCAACAGGCAAGCAAGCAGGTGGGAAAACTCTAAAATTAGAGCCCCCAAACTCCACGCACAGTATTTTGGTGTGAGCAAACACCCACACTCACTAAATCACTTATTTACAACACAGGACAAGTGACATGCACGACACTCACCCTCAATCACCAGAGATTCATTTTATCAGCTCTATTTTTTAAAAGGCAAGAAAAACTTCAAAATGGTTCAAATGTTGAAAGATACTATCTTATTTATAGTCTATGTTGATTTATGGCCCTCTAAACCAGTGGTTTTCAACCAGAGGGTAATTTTGCCCTCAGGGGACATTTGATATTATCTGGAAACACAGTGGCTGTCACAACTGTGGGGATGCTACTGGCATCTAGAGGTCAGAGGAGAAGGATACTGCTGAACATCCTAGAGTGCAAAGGACAGCCCAGGCCCAAATGTCCATAATGCTGAGATTGGGAAACCCTGTTTTAAATCCACGGGCTGTGCTGCTGGCTTTAACCTCAGGGATTTGCTAATCCCCTGCCCCTGGAAACATCCTCTGCATACCAGATGGAAGAGTTTCTCTTGTTTACAAGTGTGAAAGTATTCATTTTCAAATTTAGCAGATTTTTGGTGGTGGTGGCGCGGCGTCCGTTGGTTTTTCAACAGAATCGTTTTATGAGGGAGGGAGGAAGGGAATGGGAAGCATAGAAAGAAAACCTTCTGTAGGAACCAATACACAAAGTTGAAAGAAGTGGCACTACTTCTATGGGGGAGGGAGGGAGGGAGTGGCCCCTCCTGTGATCTCTCTAAACTCTGACTACTGGTCTATAAACCTGTGGACAAGTATATGTCACTAAGGCTGTCACGGGACATCGGAAGGGCTCCAGAAATGGCAGCACCGTGGGTAAAGGAATCTGCTTTAATTCTCTGAAAACAATTACTTCCGCGGAGCTTCTCATTCCTCAGAAGTACGGACACACAAATATTGCTTAGTTGAGTGCCTACTATATTCTGGACAGTGTGCTAGCGCTAGAGCTACAGGGAGCGGGACATGGCCCTGCCCTCCTGCGGCTTGCATTCTAGCCACAGACACACACAAATAAATACCTGAGTGGCTATTTTACATACACACGTCGCGTAAAGTTCCGGAAACGACAAGCACAGAATGCAGCTGAACCGCGTATGTCTAAAAAAGTAGTTCTTGGTCTGTCCCGCCCTCTAAATTGCCGAAGAACATTCTGGGAGTTCTGTGGGATCTGTCACAGGGACAGACGGTCTCCTAAGAGCCTCGGGAATTTCAAAGACCAGGAACGGGAGCGCGGGCAGATCACGGAAAAGTGACGGAATCACTCTCTTCTCTCTGGGCGCTGGCTCCACCGCACGGACTCTCTAAACCCAAAACCACGGGAGACCGCTTCAAAGCTGGGGGTTAAATGGTCTCCGGGTTGCGAGCACCGGGTTTTCAACCAGACACTCGGCTGGAGAGCGGAGAGGCGGCTGTGAAAGGTGAGTGTGGAGTAACCCAGGGGAAGGCAGGTGCGTGCGGGTCTTGGGCTCACATCCCCCGCCCCCAGGGAGTTCGGGCGTTTGCCTCGCCCCGAGTCGCTAACCCCTCCCAGGGCCGTGCCTCGGCGGGCCCCTGCCCCTTCGCCGGCCGCTTCCCACGTTAACCGTGGCGCGACGCCACCAGGCCACAGGCGTGAGGGGGGCCGCCCGCGAGGCTCGCCGGCCAGGCCCGGGCCTCGTGGGGTCCAGGAGCGGCACCGGGGGCCGCCTCCCCACACCTCGGCCGGGGGGAAAAGTGGTCGTGACGCCCGACGCGCCGCACGCCGGCCCCAGGCCCCGCGGGGCTCTGCCGACGTGGGCCCGGGCCTGGCGCCCGCCTGCCAGGACGCGGGGCCGGTACCTGAGAGGGCACGGAAGAGGCGCGCGGCCGGCAGCAGCAGGTAACACAGGCACGACGCGATCATGGCCGGCCGCCGCGCTCGCGCTCGCGCCCGCGCCCGCCTCCCCTCCTCACGGCCGCCCGCCGGGTCTCTCTCAGCTCGGCCCCGCCCCCGGCCCCGCCCCCGGGGCGGCTCACGTGGTACCGCTGCGCTTCAACAACAACTTTATTGGGAGCGCAGAGCCACGTGTGTGACCGCGAGGTCGGCGAGTCTGTTTCCGTGGCAACGGGCCCGGAAGCCATCCAGGAGCCCAGTTTGAAAATTAAGCACCTCATTGGAGGCTCCCATAGTATCCGTTCTAAGGCAGTTTCACAGCTACTTTTGCCACGGAGCTAGGGGGCCCACCTCGGGTACACTATAACCTCTCTGCCCCTCAGTTTTCTCATCTGTAAAATGAAGGGCAGAATTTTCTCTAAGGCCTCACACAGCCCTGACTTCTATAATCTCTTCTCATCCCAGAAAAGAGAGCCAGTTCTTCCCCATTTGTTTACTTTTCCTGACTCTACTGTCTTACTCAGCTCAGATTCTAGGTCCAAAGTCTACACCTTTGTCTCCTCTCCCATCCTATTCAAAATGGGCCCTTTTTTTACCCAATCTGGGGGAAAAAAGGGAGGGGTATCCCATTGGTAAAGGGTTCAAGAAAGGTGGGGAAAAAAATTCCACAAGGCAGGGACCAAGTCTGGTTTGTTGGTTAGTTTTCACTGAGGTATATCTTTCTAGTGCCTGCAACGATGCCAGGCACATAGTAGGAACCAAATCTTTGTTGACCAGACAAAGCATATGTCACCTATGAAGGCCAGGTCTTCTGTCCATTGTGCGCTTACCCAAAGACCTCTGAGTTTCTCTCCCCCATCCCTCACCCTCAGTCTGCCTCAGCCGCACTCTGAAGGAAGGACCGTGTAATACTCCCAAATTTGGTACCTAGTGTCTGAGCTGTGTGATTTCCGATTTGTGACTGGAGCCTCGGTTGCTCGGAGAAGCCCTCTGGAGAGTCACCAGATCCAGGACCAGCTGGATACATCATAACACTGAAAGGCCAAAAGAAGAAGGAGAGAGTCAGTCTGGCTTCAAGTAACAGCACTCACGCCTTTGCCTGAGAAGAAGCAGGAGCCCCAGGGGCCATCTGAAGGTTGAGAAGCCTCTTAAAAACTAGTGCACAAATATTAGCTCTATCTAAAGAGCCTCCAAAGCCAGGCTCACTCCTTTTATGTGGCTTAAATAAACCTTCCTCGTACCTTCCTTCTGTTTTGTCCCAGTGGTTACTGAGAAGTCCAAGTTGTAAATCAGATCCCAAATCAAGGTACTTACCTAGGGACTGTGTTTCATTTTGTGAAATGAGGGTTCCCTTATCCACTTGGAAATGTTTTAAAAGTACAAACTCCTAGACCCTACTCCCGGGGTTCTGATTTAACAGGTCTGGAATGGGCCCATGGACACTGACCAGGTTATTCTGGTATACAGTTTGGGAACCTCTGCTAAAGGACCTAATCCTCAACTGTGCTGTTCAATGCATGTGTGAGCAAAATGTGTCAGGCCAGCTCATGCCATATTCTTTCAGAGGCTTTTCCCGAGGCCAAGTAAGCAAGACTGATCTCTTTTTGTTTCCTAATCCACTTTCAGCTATGTTGGAAAGGGTAGGGGGTTGCGAGCATCACATGTTTTGGAGTGAGGCCACCTGAGTTCAGACCATGGCTTTGCCAGTTCCTACCTGTGGAACCTCTCGAGTTACTGAACCTCTTGAAACCTCGTTTCCTCACTGTGCCCAACCCAGGGTAAGCTCTTAGTGTTTACCATTATATGCATGTTTTTAACGTAAGCGCAAACCAGCTCTGGCTACTACTAATGTAGGGTCACCTTCTACAATCTCTGGCAGAAATAAGGGCTTTCCAAACTGTAATGTGGTACTACGATTTGCAGCTTCGTCATGTCAGAAATATTCCAAGAAGAGAGACCGGATGAGTCCCTCGATTCATCCCAACTGTGATAACAGTGGAGGCAATGATAAACCACTGGGTGGTTTCAAGGACGCAGAACCTAACGAATAGGGCGAATAGGGCGAGTGGAAGGTTTTGCAATACTTTGAGGGATATAAAATGTTCTTTTACAGGGAAATTTTCTGTATGCAAGAAACTTAAGTTCTTGCGGGTTCAAATTTCACTTATGCCAGCAGGTATGTGTGGAAGTTCAAGATGGCTGCCCTTATTAATTTATTGGTCGAACGTGTACATTACACAGGCTGTCATGAAGCTTCCTTTCAGGATTGCAGAAGCTACTGAGCAAGGCCTAGAGCAAAGGTGCCCAAGAGAAATATAATGTGAGCCGCGTATATAATTGGAAAATTTTAGTAGCCTCATAAAAAGCACAACAAAACAAACAAAAAAACAAAAAAAAAGAAACGGTGAAATTAATTTTTAATAGTATGTTTTATTTAACCCCATTTATCCAAAATATCAGCATTTCAACATCATCAATATTTTAAAATAAGGCAGCTTATGTTCTTTTTTTTTTCCTCTTTTTTTGTACTAAGTCTTTGAAATCCAGTATATGTGATAGCACATCTCAGTTTAGATTAGCCACAATTCAAGTGCTCAGTGGCTACAAGGGGCTTGTAGATATCGTATTTGAACCTGCGCAGGTCTAGAGGGCTCAACAGCCTCTCAGATGGGATACACTGAAAAGAACTGCCTCCATTCAAATCTTATGATAACTTGACACCCGTACACTTCTCCTAACTTGGCTTCTGTTAGCCTAGTGTTTCCTCCTGGATCTTGGGATTTATGGCTAGATATTCCCAGAATGTGCCAGATTAGTCTGAATTGATACATTCACTCATTCACTCGTTCACACATTCATGTATCCATTAGATGTTTATCAAGCACTCATCAGTGTTACCCCAGCCTCATCCTGTCTTTTCCTGACCTCCAGCACCCTCCTCCTCTTTCATTGCAGACTCTAGCCTTAGACTCCGTTTTTCCTACCTCAAATCCTCCTATGCCCAATGTGGATGAGCCATCCCAAGCCCTAGAAGCTCACTGTCACCACCTCCTCGGTGGCCTCATTCCCACTGTACATCAGATACCCTTGGAGTATCGTTAATGGGTACTGCGCTGCCTCCAAAATCATAAATTCACACACGCACTCCAACAGATCACCTCATGGCCCACTTTTGCTTCTACTTAAGCAGTTCTCTAACTCCATCAAACCCTCGGTTTCTCTATTCTGTCCTCACACTTTCCCTCAATCACCATTTCTTTCTCTATCCAACATGGAATCCCCATGAGCCATCTTTTTTTTTTTTTTTAATGTTTATTTTTGAGAGAGAGAGAGGCACGAGTGCGAACAGGGGAAGGGCAGGGAGAGAGAGAGAGGGAAACACAGAATCCGAAGCAAGCCCCAAGATCCAAGCTGTCAGCCCAGAGCCCAACACAGAGCTTGAACTCACAAACTGTGAGATCATGACCTGAGCCGAACTGACACTTAACTGACTGAGCCACCCAGGTGCGCCCCCCCCCCCCCCATGAGCCATCTTTTAAATCACTGGCTTCCCAGTATCATCTCTCTTGCCCATTGTTCTTTGATTACTCCTAGGCCAAGTAAAACCATTCTCCTTCTTGGCTCTTACATCTGGGCTGCTGAGCACTGGTGAATAAAATTACCAGCCCCTTGGACTGGAGCTCCTAGTGCGCTGGCCTCCAACCTCACTTCAGCCCTCAACCCTCCCCAGCAATCCTGTGCTCTTAACTAGGTTTCTCTCCCTTTCCACGATGACCATTCTTCTCAAACTTGTTGTCCTATGATGTCCCTTCTTGTTCTCTGGAGATCGTCTCCCTACCAACTTTAGAGAAAAACTAGAGCCACCAAGTGAAAATTCTCTACTGCTTGTTGCCACACCAACTCACTGACAGGCAACTCTAACTGCCTTCCTTCCCTCCCAACACGATGGCTGGCCATTCCATCTTTCATAGGATCCTCTCCTCCTGCTTCTTCAGAGATTATGCTCCTTCTGCTCACCACTCTCCTTTTTTTCCTGGACTCCTTCCCATCAGCATTTAACCATGCTTCGGATCTCCTATACAGAACTCTCCCCCAGCCCAAGTCCTCCTGCAGCCATCCCTCCATCTCCCCACGTCTCCTTCATAGCCAGGCTTCTTGAGTTGTCCACTCCTGATATCCATACTTCCTCATCTCTCATTCGTCTCATCTTCATCCCACTGCAGTGGGGCTTCTGTCCTCATCACTCCACTGAAACTCCCCGCCAGATTTCCCAGTGCCTTCCTTGTGGCCACATTTAATGGGCACCCTTCAGGCTTTATTATTTCTTGAATGTTCTGTAATCTTGCCTAACTCCTCGCCTCTTCTAAGATTCTCTCCTGTTGGTTTCTTTGACATTTTTCTTTTCCTTCTGACACTGTGGACATTTGTCCTAGTGTCTTTTATTTCTGTTCCCCTGAACACCCCCCTTTCAATGATGGTGTTCCCAGGATTTCACCCTTGGTCTCTTTCCTCTTCTTACTTTAAAATCCCTCCTTGAGAAATGTTCACCCTTCCAATGGCTTCAGA